GCGGGCTTCCAATATCGGAAGGAAGAGCGTTCCAAACGTCCCCAGAAGCGCATGCGAATGCGCGGCGAAGCGGTGACGGCCTTTGTTCAGCCAAAAGCCGGTGGTGGTGGTGTGGAGGGTTATTTGTGGGATGGACGAGGCAGTGGATGGGTTCGGGAGATGGACAGGGGAGGGGCTGGAGGGGCTCGGGCTGACGTGGTGGTGAATTTACGGGGGGGGGGGGGGAGGGGTCGATATATCGGGTGGCCCCGAGTCGCCAAGGGCCAGATCGCGCTCAAACCCCTCGACCCCCACCCCCCAACCCAAACCCTCGACCCCCATCCACCAACCCAGACTCCTCGACCCCCACCCCCCACCCCAAACCCTCGACCCCCATCCACCAACCCAGACTCCTCGACCCCCACCCCCCAACCCAAACCCTCGACCCCCATCCACCAACCCAGACTCCTCGACCCCCACCCCCCAACCCAAACCCTCGACCCCCACCCCCCAACCCAAACTCCTCGACCCCCACCCCCCAACCCAAACTCCTCGACCCCCATCCCCCAACCCAAACCCTCGACCCCCATCCCCCAACCCAAACTCCTCGACCCCCACCCCCCAACCCAAACTCCTCGACCCCCACCCCCAACCCAAACTCCTCGACCCCCACCCCCCAACCCAAACTCCTCGACCCCCACCCCCAACCCAAACCCTCGACCCCCACCCCCAACCCAAACCCTCGACCCCCACCCCCCAACCCAAACTCCTCGACCCCCACCCCCAACCCAAACCCTCGACCCCACCCCCCAACCCAAACTCCTCGACCCCCACCCCCAACCCAAACCCTCGACCCCCACCCCCAACCCAAACCCTCGACCCCCACCCCCAACCCAAACTCCTCGACCCCCACCCCCAACCCAAACTCTCGACCCCCACCCCCAACCCAAACTCCTCGACCCCCATCCCCCAACCCAAACTCCTCGACCCCCACCCCCAACCCAAACTCCTCGACCCCCACCCCCCAACCCAAACTCCTCGACCCCCACCCCCCAACCCAACCCCTCGACCCCCACCCCCAACCCAAACTCCTCGACCCCCACCCCCAACCCAAACTCCTCGACCCCCACCCCCCAACCCAAACTCCTCGACCCCCACCCCCCAACCCAAACCCCTCGACCCCCACCCCCAACCCAAACTCCTCGACCCCCACCCCCAACCCAAACTCCTCGACCCCCACCCCCCAACCCAAACTCCTCGACCCCCACCCCCAACCCAAACCCTCGACCCCCACCCCCCAACCCAAACTCCTCGACCCCCACCCCCAACCCAAACTCCTCGACCCCCACCCCCCAACCCAAACTCCTCGACCCCCATCCACCAACCCAGACTCCTCGACCCCCACCCCCCAACCCAAACTCCTCGACCCCCACCCCCCAACCCAAACTCCTCGACCCCCATCCCCCAACCCAAACCCTCGACCCCCACCCCCCAACCCAAACCCTCGACCCCCACCCCCAACCCAAACTCCTCGACCCCCACCCCCCAACCCAGAGCCCCGCACCCTGAAGCCGCTCCCCTCCCCCGCGCTAAAGTCGCGACTGCTGAGTAAATGAACCATGGCACTGTAATTGGGTTCTCGCGGCAATTATCCCCATTAAGGAGTCAACGCCAAGGGGGTTGCAGGTGCGAGGGAGCCTCCCTCTTTGCGGGTTCCCTGTGAGCGACGCGGGACGGGGGGAGTGGGGGCAGTGAGGGAGGGAGGTTCAGGGAGGGAGGTTCAGGGCGTGCGGTGGCCGTGAGCGCTTTGGAGGCAATGGTTGGTGGATCACGCATGTGCGGATCGAGGGGGCTACTTGACCATACTTCACCAAAATTGGTTTACCCCCCCCCCCCACGAATCCTCCTGCATCCTACGCGACACGTGTCCCACTCATCACGACATCCGCTTCCTCGTTGCGCCCACAACACGACGCTGCCACCTTCTTGTCCCCAATCTTCAAGTCGCTGATCCCATCCGTCCTTCATCCTGCAACACGCGTCCCGCCCAATGCAACTCCCCACCCCACCCACCCCCACCGCCTCCAACCTTTTCCCGATCGACTTTGTTTTTGTATCACGACGCGTCGCGAGTGAGTCAATGGGCGGCCACGCGCTTCCATCAGCATCCGAGCGCCACGCGAGGAAGCGGTGGCTAGTTGAGAACCCTCCCCCCCCCCCCCTGGTCCTCCCCCATCACTTTAAGTGGGTCCCAAAATATCTCCCCCCCGCCGCCGCCGCCCCCTAATTGGAGTTTTATTTCCCATTAGAGCAACGCCCTGACTTCCTCGCATGGTCATTCCTTCATTATCCCCGTGTCTCGCCAACAAAGTTGAGCGACATTCACCCCCAAGCCCTCCCCCCCCCCCTTCGTTCGCATGGCCACTCAACGCACCTCGTGACCTTACGGATTAGTGCTGATGCCCGCGCCGGACCAACGTGGAGTTTGAAATCGTTTACCCCGTGGGCTGCCAAAGTTCGTCTCGGCAAAGAACCATCCGGCGGCGATGGTGCTGCTGCGTTTGGCGGCGGTTGCACGATCAGGATTGACACGACACAACAAACAACGACAATAAATTAACACATTCGTAAAAAAAAACACTGCTGGGAAAGAGAAAATATACAGGACGGCCCAAAAATCAGGACACGTAGGGTTACATTTACTTTAACAAATCACATCGGGTGATATTAATGCATTTTAACAAATGTTCAAACTCACTTCCAGTCACATTAATGCATGCTAGAATTATCTTCTGAGTCAAATTCAGAACTTTTTTTTACAAAAAGATTACGGGTCGATTCTGTGAATATTCATCAATTATGTTTCGTCTCAATTCATTCACAGGGTTCTTGGTCGAGGTTTGTTTCCGACGAATATGAGAAGACCCTCTGGAAGAATAATAATTAACATAAAGATGAATCATGGCAATATTTAAAATGTCAACTTCAAGAATAAAGTATTGAAGTGTTGTAATGCCGGTGTTCAAGTAGATGAAATAATCATATGTGCCCTGACTTTTGGAACAGCCTGCGTAATAGGCGACGTTCCGGGCAATGGGCCGTCTTCATAACCAAATTATATTATCGAGTTGATATTTTTTTTACCAATAAAGATAACTTGGCCGATCACCATAATCATCATCATACTTCCTAACTCCCATTCAGATAATATTCCTTTCCAGAATAGACATCATTAACCAAAGCATGATCACATTGCCTCCAGTAATACGCAGACACAAACACACACACACACGCGCACACACGCGCACACACACGCAAACACGCACACGCACACACGCACACACACACACGCATCCCTCCGATAGCCATAACAGACGGCTGGAGCAGTGCTGTAGGAGAGCTTCTATGAAGGCCAGGATGCCACACGAGGGGGTGGGTGGCCAGCACCACGCCCGACCGCCTTTGTCTCCCGAGTGGCGATGTTTTTTACACACCGCACGAGTTACTCAATTGAGGCTGAGTCGACTTATGGAAGGACAGGGACCTGTTCAGGTAATCGTCACTGGTGGTGGTGGCCGTGACCGGGAATGGAACTCGGGAAGCCGGGTATCGTAGCGCAGCGCGCTAACCGCTACACCACCGCTCCCCACACACAGAGACACACACACGCACACACACACGCACACACACGCACCCACTCGCTCCCCACACACAGAGACACACACATACACGCACCCACTCGCTCCCCACACACAGAGACACACACACGCACCCACTCGCTCTCCACACACAGAGACGCACCCACACACGCACCCACTCGCTCCCCACACACAGAGACACACACACGCACCCACACACGCACCCACTCGCTCCCCACACACAGAGACACACACACGCACCCACTCGCTCCCCACACACAGAGACACACACACGCACACACACACGCACACACTCGCTCCTCACACACAGAGACACACACACGCACCCACACACGCACCCACTCGCTCCCCACACACAGAGACACACACACGCACCCACTCGCTCCCCACACACACACACGCACACACACACGCACCCACTCGCTCCCCACACACACACACGCACCCACACACGCACCCACTCGCTCCCCACACACAGAGACACACACACGCACCCACTCGCTCCCCACACACACACACGCACACACGCACCCACTCGCTCCCCACACACAGAGACACACACACGCACCCACTCGCTCCCCACACACACACACACGCACGCACACACGCACCCACTCGCTCCCCACACACAGAGACACACACACGCACCCACTCGCTCCCCACACACACACACACGCACACACACACGCACCCACCCGCTCCCCACACACAGAGACACACACACGCACCCACTCGCTCCCCACACACACACACGCACGCACACACACACGCACCCACTCGCTCCCCACACACACACACACGCACACACACACGAACCCACTCGCTCCCCACACGCACGCACACACACACGCACACACACACGCACACACTCGCTCCCCGCACTGCAGATCACGAAACTTCGCCTTCCCGCGTCCGCCCTCGCTCCGCTCCAACTTTGGAATTCCGCCCTCCCATCGTCTCCTTTCCCCTCGCACTCAAAGCAGTCACCTTGGCTCACTTAAAAAAAAGCGAATTCACTCTTATCCAGTGCACCTCCGAGAGTGCCGTTTGTTGCTGGACGCTCGGCGTCCCGTGCTGCCGATGAGCCCGAACGACACAACGCCGCTGTTCTGTCGGCTGCGACCCAAAGCTCCCGGTCCAAAACATTTGGCCACGAGCTCTCGTATCCTGAGCGGTCCGGTCACGAGTTCGTCACACGTGCGGAAACACACACAGTGCTGCCGCTTCCTACACAGAGCGTCTGGGGGGGGGGGGGGTGGGGAGGGAGGTGGGACTGGGTGCGGGGGATGTGGGGGGGTAGGAGCGGTAGGAAAAGGAGGAGGAGGAAGAAGAGGTGAAGGATACGGGAAGAGGGAGGGCACGGAGAGGCGAGGTGTCGCCACACGCGCGGGCTCGTGGTCCCACGCACACGCACACACATCCCCACCTCGCTCTGTGCCGTGGAGAGCGCAGAGAGGAGGGGGGGTGGTGGTTGTAGAGAGACGGGAGAGTGGAGAGCGTGAGGAGGGTGTAATCGGTTAGAGTGGCCGAGAGTTGACGAGGGAGAGAAGAGAGAGGAGAGAGAGAGGAGAGATCACCATGGCAGCGCGGATCTCGGCGCTGCTGCTCGCTCTGCTCGCGTGCGCCCACAGAGAAGGTGAGGGCACCTCGCGTCGCGGGGGGGGGTCCCCTCTGTGTGGATGTGGATGAGATAGGAGTGAATGTTGGGGGGGCCATCGACCGCAAGGGTGATGGAGAGACTTTCCCGAAGACTCTTATCTCTGCAGCTACTGTTGGTGAATCGTCCATCAGCCGGGTGAGCGATTGATTGATCGATCGATCGGTTGGCTTTCGAGAGCAGTATCATCGAGCAAAGCAGCCTCCGTTTTCCACAAGCAAACATCTGGACCGCCCATCAACGTCTCGTCAGCCTGCCGAGTGGGGCCCGCGAGACACTGGTTATAGATTGGCAGGCACCCTGTGTCGTTGTTGTTGTTATTGTTGTTGTTATTGTTGTTGTTATTGTTGTTGTTATTGTCGAGAGGCGTCCTTCTACCTGCTGGGTTCAAAACACAAACCCGTGACGCGCGGTTGTCTTCTCCCAACGCGGACGCCGCGTGCTAATTGATTTTGCCACGAGCCGCGGTTTAAATGATTTCGCGACTGACTTGAGATGCACGTAGAACTTCATTCGCGCCGTACGTAGCCAACCGTGCTGAAATCGGAGTCGCGGGAGAAGGACAACAAACGGAACACTAAAAAAAAGCAGCAGTTCTAAAGAATGTTTCTTTCAGTTTAATTCATTAGGTACAGCCCTGTGAGCCGTTCGCCTCTTGAATCGGGTGCAACCGCAACAAACAAAAACGTGAACAAGAAACGTCTTAAATGAAATGTTTAAAAAAAACGAGTTGTCAGTGTGGATTTAAAAGATGAAACAACATCCACAGTGTCGAGGCGAGGTATTGAAGAGGCATCTCGCAGGATAGTGGCAGCTTGTTTTGTGAGTGGAGTGTGCAAGGGTGGTCACGTGGCAGCGCTCGGTGCTGTTCAGGGATTATCAACCAGAAGCAGGATGGTTTTATATATTTATATTTACACTGGAGGAATCCAATGAGCTAAAACGCTCTATTTTTACAGACGTGCAGTTAGGCCAAACATCGCATATTGGAGAGACACAAACGCCCGGGCGATGTGCTGGCTACCCACCACCTCGTGCGCCGTTCCGACCTTCAGTTTGTTAAGACGACACGGGCGAACTTGGTCTTTGTCTTACAGACTGTAGGGGAGCGGTGGCGCAGTGGTAAGCGCACTGCGAAACGAATCCGGCTAGCGGACTGAGCTCAGTTCCCGGCCACGACTAACAATCGTTCGGGGAGTGATTCCTACCTGAACCGGGCTTCACCTAGGTCGACTCAGCCTTAATAGGTATCTGCTGCGGAGTGTAAATATCTGCGCTGAGGGCGGCTGAGCGCAGTGCAGGCAAGGACCCCTTTACTGTGCTCGCCGGCCTTACTAATTCATTAGGTGTTGGCTGACAGCACTTTGCCCCAGCAGTGCACACGAGGGGATACGGAAGATCTCAGTCTTTGTTACCGAGGCTCCGATCATTGCTGTTGTTGTTATTGACATCTGTATTCAAAAGTCAACAACTTAAACGATAACGGTCCAGCCCTTCGTCCCTACATTCCTGGATCAAGGCATTCCCACGCCGTGCAGGTCATGGCAGTTGTTTGACCATACTTCACCCCGCTGGTCACTGCGAAGGAGAGGGGGTGGGAGGGTGTGTTCCCGAGACCGGTTTGGATCATCGCTCGCCCTCCTGACGACAGCCGTGGCCGGTGTGGGGGGGGGAGTTGAACTCACGGCGCCGGCTCGATGTGACCCCTGGGGCGTTCGTCGCGTCGATGTTCACGTGCGGCTCTTCGCGGAGCGCGACATCGACGGATGTCAGAACGGATCCAAGGCAAAGACAAAGTTCCCCCCACCCCCCCCCCCCCCCCCCCCCCCCAGTATAGCATTAACAGACTTTATTTCGATTTAAAGCTTTCGTGACTGCAAGGATTCATCTTCTTGGTTCTTTCGGTAAAGTCAAGTAGAAGGAAAATAATAAAATAATAAAAATAAGCAGACCTGTTCTCCACCTGAAGACGGCTGCTTGCGTTGTGGCCGAAACGTCGTGAGAATTATTTTATTATGTTTTATTTTTATTATTTTATTATTTCCCTTCTACGTGACTTTACCGAAAGAACCAAGAAGACATTAACAGACTGTTAGGGGGGAAATGCTGTTAGCTAGCACCTCCAGGACAAAGACAAAGACTCCCCGTATAGCCTTAACATACTGTAGGGGCAAGTGCTGTTAGCGAAGGTCAACACGGCACACGAGAGGGTGGGTGGCCAACACCACGCCCGGCCGCCTTTGTCTCTCCAGTGGCGATGTTTACACATCGCATTAGGTACTCATTTGAGGCTGAGTCAACCTAGGGGAGGCCCGGGACCGATTCAGATAATCGTCACTGGTATTGGCCGTGAGCGGGAATCGAACCCGGGTCGCCAGGTTCATAGCGCAGCGCGCTAACCGCTACACTACCACTCCCCACAAGCACCTCCAAGACACACACACAGACACACGCACAGATACACACACAGACACACAGACACATATACACAATCACACAGACACACAGACACAGATACACGGTGGTGTTTACACGAGGGCTCGCCCCGAGGAGAGGAGGAGGAGTGAGGAATTCTCTCCCCGCACCCCACACCCCACGCATCCGCCCTTGTTTCCACTCACTCCCACGAGGGACCTGTTACTCAAGGCTCAGAGCCCAGAGCCGGTGGAAGTCCACGAGACAGAAGCAGGCGTCGAACGCACCACCTCGCGGGCCTACGAGTGCACTGTGGCCACCAAGATGGCATTGCGTGTTAGCCCGACAATTTCAATTGGTTCATTCTACTGTCATCGGTCACGTGAAAGCCAGTTGGAACCACGTGCAGTTGTGCCACCTCAAGTGGTACCGACAAGTGAAATGCCTGCCTGTGCTCATGGACTTACCGTCCAGGGCACACGTGCGGGTTTATTTGGTCTTTTGAGCTATTGGTCCGGATTTTCGGTACGATCTCGGGTGGAAAATGCCAATCCCGATTGTGTTTCAGCACATTCGTTGTATATCATGAAATATCTATGATAGCAAGGACGTCGTGGTAGCTTCTTATGAGAAAAAAAAACGCAATTTAAAGGGTGCTATAGCGTGTTTGATAGAATATATAGTTTTTTGCAAAAAAAGTAATAGGATATGAAAAGGAACATAAACCATTCGTATCGTTTTTGTTGAAGTGGAATTATGTACGCTGAGCTCTCTGCCCATGGTGGACACTGGTTGTGGTGGACACTGGTCGTGGTGGACACTGGTCGTGGTGGACACCGGCCGTGGTGGACACTGGTCGTGGTGGACACTGGTACCAGTTGTCACCCCAGGTGGGAGCAACTTCGCCACTGGGCAGACAAAGGCAGCTCGGCGTGGTGCCGGTCACCCACCTCCTCGTGTGCCGTGTCTGCCTCCATAGGTGCTCGCTAACAGCACTTGCTCTCTACAGCCTGCTAAAGGCTACACGAGGGATCGTTGCATTTGGGACTTAACCGAAGTAGGCTCACAAAGAGAGACGTAGAGGACACGCGGAGTCAAGGAGACAGACAGAGACACGCAGAGTCAATGAGACAGACGGAGACACGCAGAGTCAAGGAGACAGACAGAGACACGCAGAGTGCCCGATGCGCTACGCTAACATAGAGACGGACATGAACAACGACACGGAGAGAGAGACACACACACAGATGTTGTGGGGGTGAGGGGCATAACGCATTGGGGGGGGGGCACTGATGGGAGTGGGGAGCGATTGACAAGATGCGCAAAACGCTTTCCCGTTCGCGTTCATCGCCGTAGGTGAGCGGGCGATTCAAATTGCAGCGGAATCGATCTGAGCACTCGGCGGGTTGAGGCGTTTGGGCTTTGAGTGATTGTCCAACACGCGGCGTGCCGTGCCGACTGCTCCCAGCAAGGCGCCCTGCGCGGCGCGCGGGCATCGTCCACGTGCCGATGCGTGGCGGCGTCTCCATGTGTGGCCCAACATTGACGAATGTTTCCTCCCCGTGTCTCATCCCTATGTCTCCTCCCCGTTTGTTCTCCCCGTGTCTCCTCCCCGTGTCTCCTCCCTATGTCTCCATGTGTCTCGGCGTGTCTCCTCCCTGTGTCTCCGCGTGTCTCCTCCATATGTCTCTATGTGTCTCTGCGTGTCTCCTCCATATGTCTCCATGTGTCTCCGCGTGTCTCCTCCCCGTGTCTCCTCCCCGTGTCTCCATGTGTCTCCGCGTGTCTCCTCCCCGTGTCTCCTCCCCGTGTCTCCATGTGTATCCATGTGTCTCCGCGTGTCTCCTCCCCGTGTCTCATCCCCGTGTCTCCTCCCCGTGTCTCCTCCCCGTGTCTCCTCCCTGTGTCTCCTCCCTATGTCTCTATGTGTCTACACGTGTCTCCTCCCCGTGTTTCCTTCCCGTGTCCCCTCCATATGTCTCTATGTGTCTCCCCGTGTCTCCCCGTGTCTCCTCCCCGTGTCTCCTCCCCGTGTCTCTATATGTCTCCCCGTGTCTCCTCCCCGTGTCTCCGCGTGTCTCCTCCCCGTGTGTCCTCCCTGTGTCTCCTCCATATGTCTCTATGTGTCTCTGCGTGTCTCCTCCCCGAGTCTCCATGTGTCTCCATGTGTCTCCATGTGTCTCCGCGTGTCTCTTCCCCGTGTCTCCTCCCCGTCTCACCGCGCGTGGCTGCTGGGACAAGGCGTTCGCTCGGAGTGCGACGCGTCCATCGACCCCGGCGCGCAGCCTCACGGCTCCATCTCCCTGCACAACTACCCGGACAACGCGCGCTGCACCTGGTTCATCCGTGCGCTGCCCTCCGAACGCGTACGTGAGCGCACCCTGCCCACGCCTCACCGCCACCCCAAATCCCTCCCCCGTCAGGGGAACCCGACCGGGGGGAAGGGGCTAAGGAGGGAGGGGGGAGGTCGGTTCTGGTCATCCTGCGGATGCGCCCCGACTTTGTCAGATCTCGAAAGCCAAGCGCGTGTTGAGTCTCGTTGCTCGGTAGTTCAATTGGGAGGCTGCACGTGGCACAATTTGGCTGTCGGAGGTTTGGAGCTCGGACTGCGAGGCGGATCCGAGAGGTGGGTGGGTGGCTGCACAGCCAACGGAGCATTGGATCCAGGACGCCGCTGCGTCCCCGTGTTGCGAGGGAGGTTGTTGGAACGTTTGAAGAGTGCGGCACAGTTGTGGCGAGGCAAGTTACTCGTACGCCGGTTTCACTTCACTTCGTTAAACAAAAACACGGCAAATGCCCTTTACCCGGTAGAGCCTCACTGAGCCTCGCTTAATCCCCAGGAGGGCCGTGTTCTATCGAGGTGTTTGTCCAATTCCGTTCGTGAGAGTTGTGACTCTGTGTTAGAGGAAACTTAGGAAGCTGGAGAAAACCCACCACTCGTACGGGGGGGGGGGTGACACCCAGATCACTCTCACACCCCCTATCTTGGTCCCCCAAAGTTCTCACCCGATTCGACAGAGCACACTTGAATCTTGCCCTTCAGCCAGGTCACCAATCACAACTCGGACCCGACTCCGGACTTCAGCCGCCCTGCGATTAAATCACGTCCTCGCGCGCGCTTGGACGATCTCGTCCCGGTGTTCCAATGACTGCACGAACCGACTGCTGCGCCTTCATCAAACAGAAAAACCACTTGCCCCATCATCACCCTGCGTCGGCTACACGACGTTGGGAGAGGGGAGAGATCGTTGCCTTTGTCGGCACGTGAACCCCAGTGCCTCGGCTTTGCACAGGTGAGGTTGCTGCTCACCTACCTGGACGTGGAGGAGGAGCCGGGCTGCGCCTACGACCGCCTCACCCTCAAGCCGGGCGGGCAGCCCGAGCGGGTCTTCTGCGGCCGCACCCAGCTGGGGCTGGGGGTCCCCAGGGCGGGGGCCGAGGGGGCCCTGCTGGAGGGACGCGGGCAGACCCTCGTGGCCTTCCAGAGCGACGAGTCGACGGGCTACGGCGGCTTCACGGTCAAGTTCTCGGGTGCGTGCTCTCGGTAACCCCGGGAATTCACCAGTAGCTTGGGCCCACTCTAAACCATAACAACAACAACCGCCATTCGCCACTAAGTGGCGGTGACGTCACCACGACGCTTGTGCCAGGCCATGTGCACCTTGAGGCCACGTGAAGTGTCGAACGCCCGCCAGCAGGAGGTCACGAGGCAGACCCAGCAGGTGCCACGGGTCGACTGACCGAGATGACCGAGATGACTGGCTGATGCACCACATGTGCCCCCTACTGTGCCAACTTGCTGTGCTTTAGCCACCCGGCGCTCCGCTCGTTGTTGTGAGCGTCGCTAAACCATAACCCCCCCCCCCACCCCCACACACACGCGAGTGGCACTCGTCCCTGCCCCTGTACCCGTCCACCGCTCGACGAGGAGAGCCTCCCTCCCGCAATTGTGCGGGTCCTGGGGTTATCTGGCCATACTTCACCACACTGGTAACGGTAGGGAGAGCATCAGCTGCGCTCTGCCGCTCACTGCGTGAACCCGCAGTCGACAAGCACCTGCTGTCCATGCTGTGCAGCCAATCAACAGCTATCCGTGCTCGCCCCTCCACAGCTGGTGAGATCGGTCGCATTCCGAGGGATTCGGTCAGAGGCACCTTTCCAAACATACCTCCTAGGATAGCTACATACGTATCTTACTGCACGCCTCCATACAAACCTGTTGTCATTCATCAACGTGTACCTTACCTGCATACCTCCACACTTGCTTTCATACATCAACACAGAGCTATCTGCCTTGTGTGCCATGCCGCGTGTTCACAACCGCGGGGACGGGAAGGGTGCCGTGCGAACTGGGGCTGGCGGGGTGTTGGCCGAATGTTCCCCGCGACAGAGCAATCTCTCTTACCTTGCTAGATGTGAAGCTTTCGTGACGGCAAGGATTCATACTCTTAGATTGTTTCGGTAAAGTCACGTAGGTAAAAAAATTTAAATTACAAATTATTAAAAGCAATAATAGAAATAAAATAATAAATCTTTATTTTATTTCTATTATTCCTAAAATTAAAAAAAATACTAAAAGTCATAATAGAAATAAAATTAAATTAAAAATCTTTATTTTATTCCCATTATTACTTTTAGTAATTTTTTATTTTATTTTTTACCTACGTGACTTTACCGAAAAAAACAATGAGTAACAATCTCTTACCTCCCCTCCCCGCCTCCATCCCCGTTTCCCTCCCGATCCCTCCCCATTCCTCCCCATCTCTCTCCCCATCTCCCTCCCCATCTTCCTCCCCATCCCTCCCCATCCCTCCCCATCTCCCTCCCCATCTCCCTCCCCATCTCCCTCCCCACTTCCCTCCCCATCCCTCCCCGTCTCCCTCCCCATCCCTCCCCATCTCCCTCCCCATCCCTCCCATCCCTCCCCATCCCTCCCCATCTCCCTCCCCATCCCTCCCCATCCCTCCCCATCCTCCCGTCTCCCCCCATCCCTCCCCATCTCCCTCCCCATCCCTCCCCATCCCTCCCCATCTCCCTCCCCATCTCCCTCCCCATCCCTCCCCATCCCTCCCCATCTCCCTCCCCATCCCTCCCCATCCCTCCCCATCTCCCTCCCCATCCCTCCCCATCTCCCTCCCCATCCCTCCCCATCCCTCCCCATCCCTCCCATCTCCCTCCCCATCCCTCCCCATCTCCCTCCCCATCCCTCCCCATCCCTCCCCATCCCTCCCCATCTCCCTCCCCATCTCCCTCCCCATCTCCCTCCCCATCTCCCTCCCCATCCCTCCCCATCTCCCTCCCCATCCCTCCCCATCTCCCTCCCCATCCTCCCCATCTCCCTCCCCATCTCCCTCCCCATCTCCCTCCCCATCTCCCTCCCCATTCCTCCCCATCTCCCTCCCCATCCCTCCCCATCTCCCTCCCCATCCCTCCCCATCCCTCCCCATCCCTCCCCATCCCTCCCCATCTCCCTCCCCATCCCTCCCCATCCCCCCCATCTCCCTCCCCATCTCTCTCCCCATCTCCCTCCCCATCCCTCCCCATCCCTCCCCATCCCTCCCCATCTCCCTCCCCATCTCCCTCCCCATCCCTCCCCATCTCCATCCCGTTTCCCTCCCGATCCCTCCCCATTCCTACCCATCTCCCTCCCCATCTCCCTCCCCATCTCCCTCCCCATCTCCCTCCCCATCTCCCTCCCCATTCCTCCCCATCTCCCTCCCCATCTCCCTCCCCGTCTCCCTCCCCATCCCTCCCCATCCCTCCCCATCTCCCTCCCCGCTTCCCTCACCATCCCTCCCCATCCCTCCCCATCTCCCTCCCCATCCCTCCCCATCTCTCCCCGTCTCCCTCCCCGCTTCCCTCCCCATCCCTCCCCATCCGTCCCCATCCCTCCCCATCCCTCCCCATCCCTCCCCATCCCTCCCCGTCTCCCTCCCCATCTCCCTCCCCGTCTCCCCCTCCTCCCCGGCGTAGTGGACGTGGACTGGTGCCGCCGCCACGAGCCGTGTGCCCACGGCGCCACGTGCAGCGCCGTGCCCGAGGGGTACCGCTGCTCGTGCAGCCGCGGGTGGAGCGGCCGCAGGTGCGAGCAAGGTAGGGGTCGCGGTGAGGTCGCAGCGATGCCCACGACACCGTGGGACGGGACTTCAATTTTTGCTTTTTTTACAAAATAATAAACCTCACTTTGAGACATCTCCTTTACCAGTGGCAAAATATAGTGATAGGTTTTTACCCTTTCAACTGGTACAAAACTGACACCTTTATACAAGGCATCATGTTTGCAATAAGCACAACACAAGCAGTCAAAATGCAAACAAAAAGAAACAACTCTGATGATGATAATGATATGCACTGTCCTTGAAGTTGATTGGTCCACACCCGAGACAGCTTTTCTTAGAGCCTAGTCTCCATTGGTGTTGGACCAGATGACGGCAAAAAGGCGTACAACTCAAAGACAGCGCACTATCAAAGTATTTAGAGCTCGGGGTAAGCATTTACACTATGAGACCTCCTTTACCAGTGGCAAAATATAGTAATAGGTTTTTACCATTTCAACTGGTACTAAACTGACACCTTTATACAAGGCATCATGTTTGCAATAAGCACAACACAAGCAGTCAAAATGCAAACAAAAAGAAACAACTCTGATGATGATAATGATATGCATTTTGACTACTTGTGTTGTGGTTATTGCAAACATGATGCCTTATATAAAGGTGTCAGTTTTGTACCAGTTGAAAGGGTAAAACCCTATTACAATAATAAACCTGTGAATGGGACCCCCGTTGATGTAAGGGGGGAGGGAGGGTCCTTGCCTGCACGGGGTGGGCAGATGACCAGAGTTGATTGAAGCCAAGCCTCACTCTGCTGACGCGGCGCCTCCTGTTCGGGAGCTCGTGGGATTGCTGCATTGTGAGACTGTGAGAGATGGCAAAGCAGTGGATAGATCAAGGCTGATGATGCTGTTGTCAGGAGTATTGGCGTGTTTCCTCGAAACGTTCTTAGCAGGGTGGAGACACGCATTGTGATGGAGTTGTGGCGGTGATGGTGTTCGGCCAGTTATCTCAGTCAGTCGACCTGGGTCTGTCCCGTGACCTCCTGCCAGCGGGCGTTCGACACGTCACGTGGCCTTAAAGTGCACCTAGCCTGGCACAGGTGCCGTGGTGACGTCTTCGTCACTTAGTGGCGAATGCCGGTTGTTGTTGGTGGTGGTGATGGTGACGATGATGGTGTTGATCTTGATGATGATGGAGTTAACAGGAATGGTGATGGTGGTTGCGATAGTGTTTGCAGTGGTGATAATGATGATTAAGGTAATGGAAGTATTCGTATCCATGATGATGGTGCTGAAGTTGCTCACGGCAGTGGTGTTAACAGCAGCGATGATAGTAGTTGCAATGGTGTTTGCAGAGATGATGATGATGGTGGTGTTTGCAGAGATGATGGTGGTGGTGGTGGTGGTAATGATGATGGTGGTGGTGGTGGTAATGATGTTGGTGTTGGTAGTGATGATGATGGTGGTGGTGGTGTTTGCAGAGATGATGGTGGTGGTGGTGAAGATGGTGATGGTGGTGGTGTTTGCAGAGATGATGGTGGTGGTGGTGTTGGTGGTGATGATGGTGGTGTTGGTGGTGGTAATGATGATGGTGGTGGTGTTGGTGATGATGGTGTTGGTGATGATGATGGTGGTGGTGGTGGTAATGGAAACTTAGGAACTCCCTAGCAGCCTCTGCCAGGACCTTCACATTCCACCGCGCGTGGCTCATTGCCGCGAGTGGCTCATTGCCGTGCGCCGTGCCCCGAACTCATTCGGCGCGCACAAAGGCGGCTGGGCGGCGGCTACCGCGGCGCCTGGACTCTGTGATGATTCAGGGGAAGGAATAGCAACAGGGTCAGCAGCAGTGGCAGCAGCAGCAGAGGCAGCAGCAGCAGAAGCAGCAACAGAGGCAGCAGCAGCAGTGGCATCAGCAGCAGTGGCATCAGCAGCAGTGGCAGCAGCAGAGGCAGCAGCAGTAGTAGCGGCAGCAGCGGCAGCAGCAGCAGAGGCAGCAGCAGCAGAGGCAGCAGCAGCAGTGGCATCAGCAGCAGCAGCAGAGGCAGCAGCAGAGGCAGCAGCAGCGGCAGCAGCGGCAGCAGCAGCAGAGGCAGCAGCAGAGGCAGCAGCAGAGGCATCAGCAGCAGAGGCAGCGGCAGCAGCGGCAGCAGCAGTAGCAGCAGCGGCAGTAGTAGCAGCAGCGGCAGCAGCAGAGGCAGTAGCAGCAGTGGCATCAGCAGCAGAGGCATCAGCAGCAGCGGCATCATCTAGGGAGAGAGGGGAGCGACGCCCCGTGTCCCGCCGGGAGTGCCCGCCAGGGTGTGCGCACGCTGCGGGGATGATGGAAGGCACAATGAGTCGAGGCAGCCGGCATGCCGGGGGTTGGCACGCCGAGGAAGGGTGTTCCCCCTCCGCTCTCGTTTTTTTTGTTTCCTCCGCGTAGGAAGCGATGTGTAATTGTTGCGCCGGCGGCCGCAGCCACGTAAACATTGGATAATGGGCGGCGCGCAATCAGCGGAGCGCTCGGGCGCTTTGTGATCCTGTGTGTTGCCGCCCATGATAAAGACAATTGCTCCACATCTGGCTCGTGCTGATATAAAACCTCGGGGAGGAACACGCGACGAATATTTGTCTTGTTCTTGTAACGGAACTCGTTTTTTTCTGTTCGTGTAAGTTTCAAACTTGATTTGGAGCTTTCGTGCCTGCGGGAATTAATGTTTGGTTCTTTCGGTAAAGTCACGTAGAAATAAAAATAAATTAATTAATATCACTACATGTGTAGTAGCTATATATGTAGTCTTAGTCTATGGGCAGTACTTACGTTGAACTTCATTCGCGCCGTACGTAGCCAACCGTGCTAAAATCGGAGTTGCGGGGGGAGGACAACAAACGGAACACTAAAAAAGCTCTAAAGAAATGAGTTGTCAATGTGGATTTAAAAGATGAAACAACACCACAGTGCCGAGGCGAGGTATTGAAGAGCATCTCGCAGGATAGTGGCAGCTTGTTTGTGAGTGGAGTGTGCAAGGGTGGTCACGTGGCAGTGCCCTCGTGCTGTTCAGGGAACCAGAGGAGGGGCTCGGAAGAAAATCGCCGTGGCTACACCTTTACCCTTTGGTCAAATGTTTTCTCTCTCACAGAAGAGGATCCAGGGGACGCGGAGAGGGACCGGGCCGTGGAAGCGTCGAGCGCGCACCCCACGGCCACCACGACGCCAGCGGCACCGGACGGAATCGCGGGCAACGGCGACGGCGGCGGTGGCGGCGGAGATGCGGCCTCAGCGGTGGCGGTGCCGCAGGGCAGTGGCGCAGAAGCGGCGGCGTCATCCCCGGAGCGGCCTCCGCCGCCCTGCGGTGCCGGGCGGTGCGATGGAGTCGACGCGGAGCGCGACGGCTCCACCGCGCGGCCCGAGAGACTCGCGCGGAGTCCGCCGACTCAAGGGAGCGGCAGCGGCGTTCCCAGCGGCACGAGTAGCAGTAGTGGCATGATCAGCAGCAGCACCATGAGTAGGAGCAATATCATAACCAGCAGCAGTAGCAGCAGCGGTCCAATCGGCAGCAATGGAATGATTGACCCTACGAGTCGCGTCTCTGCTAGCTGGCTACGCTCCCTGCTGACCCCAGTTGTGGGTGACGTCGCCAGCCCTAGCACCAACCTGGCAGGGACGAGGCCGACACCGTCACCACCACAGCAACGCGACTCCACCCCGCACTATGACCGAGGGCCCGTCACGGTGCGAACCCCGTGGGGGTGGCGCAATTCCGCGGCTCGCATCGCGGGCACATGGGTGCCGCGCGCCGCGATAACGACCGTCACGTGGGCAGGGTCCACGCAGCAGCAGCAAGAAGAGCCCTCCGATGCAGAGGCGCTGACAAACGTGAACGCGGCACGTGCGCCCGATCCCTCGAGTTCTACGGCGACGGGAGAGTCGGTGGCGACACGGGCGGTGGCCGCGAGAGACGAGCACGAACCGGGGTCTTTGAAGGAGGAGGTGGGACGACAAGTGGCTGCTGCTGAAAAGTCCGGCGAGGCCCCGCGCACGGCGTCCGGTCGGGGAGCGCGTGACCCTCCGCCGTCGGAGCGCTCTGCCGCGGCGTTGTCGGGAGGGCGCGGGAGTCCCGCGCTGCAGGCCGAGTCCGTGAGCGTCGCCGCGCCACGCGCGCCGGGTGGAGAAGGCAGCAGCAGCGTTGGGGCGGAGTCGACAAGCCGCTCGGGGCCTGGGCGTTATACTGCGGCGGTGCTAGAACGAACGCGATCCTCCTCATCAGCCGTGGGGACGCATTCTCCGCATTCGTCTCCATCTCAGGGTTCAACAGAGGCCCCCCCGGGCGACGCGTTGGCCACGTCGGCGACAAATTCGCTCAGCGAGCCGCCCGATAGGACCGCGAGTCATCGGTACTCGGCGGAGCGATGGTTGCATGTTACCGCAGAGGAGCCAGGCCCCGCCGAGCACACCCGGAGTGAGTTTCGCGCTGTGAACGACTCCGTGTCGGCAGAGTCCGGGTCTCTGGACGGCGTCGGAGTAACGAGCGGCGCTCCCTCGCGCACGTCCTCCCCGAATTCGGCAAAATCGCCAGGGCGAATTTTTGACCCCGAACCGTCGACCTCGCAGGCGCCGGCAACGGCGGTGGGGAACGAATTGAACGCGGGAGAGCCTCGGCCAATCGAGGAGTCTGCGGTGGATCTGGTGGCCGCGGTGGCGCGGGGAGCAGAAGCATCACTGCTCAGCCCGCGCTCGAGAGGGCCTCCGTCGCCGGCTGGCGCTCGCCCGGCGCTCGCCACGACGCCGGCGCCGAATACGGCCGCGGCTTCCGCGGGCGGACACGCGCCCACTGAGGAGCGGCGGCTGGGGTCTGCGACGTCGGAAGTGGCCACGGGGTTGGAGGCCGACTCCCCGGACGAGGAGCGGACGACACTTCCCACGGCCGCCCGCTGGCCCTGGCTCACGCGGGGTCCTCCGCTCGCGGCCCTCTCCGCCGCTGGGGCCGCAGAGGAGGTCGCGACGGGCAGCAGCGCCGTGGCGGCGGCGCTGCCGGCGGGGCAGTGGAGCCAGGCGGTGCCTCCCACAAGCGCAGCAGCCGCAGCACCAGCAGGAACAACAGCAGCAACAGCAGTAGCAACAGCAGCACCATTTGTAGCAACAGAAGCAGTAGCAACAGCAGCACCATTTGTAGCAACAGAAGCAGTAGCAACAGAAGCACCAGCAGCAGCAACGGAAGCAGTAGCAGCACCATTTGTAGCAACAGAAGCAGTAGCAACAGAAGCAGAAGCAGTAGCAACAGAAGCAGTAGCAGCACCATTTGTAGCAACAGAAGCAGTAGCAACAGAAGCAACAGAAGCAGAAGCAGTAGCAACAGAAGCAGTAGCAACAGAAGCAGTAGCAGCAACAGAAGCAGTAGCAACAGAAGCAGAAGCAACAGAAGCAGAAGCAGTAGCAACAGAAGCACCAGCAGGAACAACAGAAGCAGTAGCAACAGAAGCAGGAACAACAGAAGCAGCAGTAGCAGTAGCAACAAAAGCAGCAACAACAAAAGCAGCAGCAGTAGCAACAGAAGCAGCAACAACAGAAGCAGCAGCAGTAGCAACAGAAGCAGTAGCAAGAGAAGCAGCAGTAGCAACAACAGAAGCAGTAGCAACAGAAGCAGCAACAACAGAAGCAGCAGCAGCAACAGAAGCAGCAACAACAGAAGCAGCAGCAGTAGCAACAGAAGCAGCAGCAGTAGCAACAGAAGCAGCAACAACAGAAGCAGCAACAGAAGCAGCAACAACAGAAGCAGCAGCAATAGCAACAGAAGCAGCAGCAGTAGCAACAGAAGCAGCAACAACGGAAGCAGCAGCAGCAACGGAAGCAGCAACAACAGAAGCAGCAGCAACAGAAGCAGCAGCAACAACAGAAGCAGCAACAACAGAAGCAGCAGCAACAGAAGCAGCAGCAACAGAAGCAGCAGCAACAACAGAAGCAGCAGCAACAGAAGCAGCAACAGAAGCAGCAGCAACAACAGAAGCAGCAGCAACAGAAGCAGCAGCACAAGCAGCAGCACAGCAGCAGCAGCAACAGAAGCAGCAGCAGTAGCAACAGAAGCAGCAGCAGCAACAACAGAAGCAGCAGCAACAGAAGCAGTAGCAGCAGAAGCAGCAGCAACAGCAGCAACAGAAGCAGCAGCAGCAACAACAGAAGCAGCAGCAACAGCAGCAGCAACAACAGAAGCAGCAGCAGTAGCAACAGAAGCAGTAGCAACAGAAGCAGTAGCAACAGAAGCAGCAGCAACAGCAGCAACAGAAGCAGTAGCAACAGAAGCAGCAACAGTAGCAACAGAAGCAGCAGCAGTAGCAACAGAAGCAGTAGCAACAGAAGCAGCAACAACAACAGCAGCAGCAGCAACAGCAGCAGTAGCAACAAAAGCAGGAACAACAGAAGCAGCAGCAGTAGCAGCAGAAGCAGTAGCAGCAACAAAAGCAGTAGCAACAGAAGCAGGAACAACAGAAGCAGCAACAACAGAAGCAACAACAACAGTAGCAACAGAAGCAGCAGCAACAGCAGCAGCAGCAGAAGCAGCAGCAACAGCAACAGCAGCAACAGCAGCAGCAGCAACAGCAACATCAGCAACAGCAGCAGCAACAACAGAACCAACAGAGTCAGCAGCAGCAGCAGCAACAGAGTCAGCAGCAGCAGAAGCAGCAACAGAAGCAGCAGCAGAGGCAGCAGCAGCAACAGAAGCAGCAGCAGTAGCAACAGCAGCAGCAGGAGGATCGCGATCTGCAGAGCATGCGACACGAGCCTCACCGACTCGGACCGCACAGCCGAGGCCACCACGTCCCCGCTCGGCCCGCGTCACAACAACAACCACAACCACCACTACCACCACCACAACCACCACCATGCCGAGGATGTTCCCCGGCAGAGGCGAGCCGAAGGGGTCACCCCACCGCGGGGTCACGACGTCGGCCACCGCCACTGCGGCCGCCGCCGCCACCTCCGGCGAGACGGCGACAGCGGCCCGGGGCCACGGGAGGCGCGAGCTGAACCCGTCCGTCGTCGTGGCCGAGGATCGACCGCCGGTCTTCAAAGGTACCGACCGACCGACCTTGGCGGCGGAGCCGGGCTCAGAATTTTTTTTTTTTTATGTCAAAATGAGAATATCACTCCGACGTGTCGTCGTGTATTTTGGGCGCGACGTGGAGTTGAAATGACCACAACACCGCCACCACCGCCACCGCCACGCTGAACAACAACACGAGATGACGCGGAACGGCAGATGCGCACGACCGGACAGCCACGAGGGACAGCTGCACGGCGCCGCTCCGACAAAAGTTGCCGGCATCGGTGGGCAATAAACAACAGCGGGGGTTTGTCGATTGTAGTTCCCCCTCGTCCTAGCGGCGTGCTCAGCGACCCGGCCCTGCAAGTTCCCCAGCGCGCTGGCACCGTCCAGCCGGCAACAACTTCTTGTCCACGCAGTCGTGCGCGTCGATGATCACAGCGATGATGATGATGACGACGATGACAACATCGATGATGATGACGACAGCGATGATGACGACGACAATGACGATGACGACAGCGATGATGATGACGACAACGACGATGATGATAATCACGACAATGATGATGATGACGACAACGATGATGATGATGACGACGCGACGGTCGCGTTCGGTTGCTGCCGCAGGAGGTACCAGGATCCACGTGTCGCTGTCTCTGCGCATCGACTTGGTGTTCAGCGTCGCTCTGCTCGACCCGGCGTCGCCCCAGCGCCGAGCTCTGGTGGAGAACTTTCACGAGACCGTGAGTCCCCGCCGCCGTTTTGGGGTGACGAACAACGCGCTGTTCCACATCGCCCTCCCAGCTGTCCCACATCGCCCTCTCAGCTGTTCCACATCGCCCTCCCAGCTGTTCCACATCGCCCTCCCAGCTGTTCCACATCGCCCTCCCAGCTGTTCCACATCGCCCTCCCAGCTGTTCCACATGGCCCTCCCAGCTGTTCCACATCGCCCTCCCAGCTGTTCCACATCGCCCTCCCAGCTGTTCCACATGGCCCTCCCAGCTGTTCCACATTGTCATCACAGCTGCTCCACATCGCCCTCCCAGCTGTTCCACATGGCCCTCCCAGCTGTTCCACATGGCTCTCCCAGCTGTTCCACATCGCCCTCCCAGCTGTTCCACATGGCCCTCCCAGCTGTTCCACATTGTCATCACAGCTGCTCCACATTGCCCTCCCAGCTGTTCTACACTGCAGAGCGCACAGCGCTGTAGAGTACATAACCAACCGTGCTAATGGCACCTCCGATTAGCACGGTTGGCTACGTACGGTGCGATAGAAGTGTCAACATATTTAAGGTACATTCAACATTGGCCGTTTCTACCCCGCCCACGGTTTGGAGCGGTGGGACGGTGGTCATCGCACTGCGCTACCAAAACCAGCGACCTTAACAGTTCGTCTCCCGGTCACGGCCAATAGCGGTCGCGAATTAACTGAACGGGTTCTGAACGCCCCCCCCCCCCCCTTCACCAATCCGTACTGACCAACGTGGTGAAGTAAAGCCAAATAACCTCCAACACGGCGTGGGGAGAGGCCTCCATCATCCAGCATTGGATCTCAACGCTGACAAATGGCCGCTGTTAATGAAACCACGAAATGCAATGTTTTAAAAAGGAATCTTGGCGATGTCCTACTTCTGACGGCATTCTCATTCACGTGCTCGTGGTGCCGATGTTTCGCCGTGCCGATCTGAGCCACAACGTCGGTTTCACAAACGTCGGGACGCTGTCGTTCGCAGATCGATCCGTTTTTTTGGAAGGTCTCCGGATTCCAAGACCTCATCATCAAGAGAATACGGTGATTATCGATCAGCAAATCGATGTCCTTCTCTCTCCTTGGAAAAACAACAACACCCTAGCTCTTAAAGTGGCCGAGTGGCTCAGAGCCTCAGAGGTCAACAGTTCAGAGGGGGCACACCGCCCAGATCCTGAAGTTCGAATCAAAGTTTCAGTCGTCGATGACATACCTGTCAACGCATACGGTTTAACACGTCGGCTTTCGCGACCAATGTCATCCACATTATAGGTTTTTGGGGGTTAGATCGCGTAAATACGGTTTACCCCGTATTCTTGGACAGGGAAAGTGAGTTTTCAGGTCCATGCGGCGTACAGCCGTTTCAATACGGGCAAAAATAAATTGTGTGTCTATTTGTTTGTGTTTCTCCCATGTGATGGGACTTTGTAGGATGAACGTTGATATTTATAAAGGGGCACGGGGTGAGCAATACGATCTGAACTGGTCCGTTATAAGATAGGGCACTGATGAGGTGTTGACAGGTTTGCTGTGATAAAGCCCGGCCTCTCAAGTGTAGCGAGTCGATGATGGTGTCAGCTCACTCACCACAGACTCGACGTTCGAACAGCGGTCTGCGCGGAGATTTGGTGGGACGCCTTTCATCACGTGCCGCGCATTCGCCAGCCACAATTCCGGGCGATCATTAAAGTTGCGCAACCAATCGCCCACGTGATGTTAACTATTTTACCTGGTATACAGTGTGTCGTGGGTTCGATCCCGACCCTGACGCCTGCTGCTGTATATTTGAAGTTTGCATGTTCTCCGTGTGGCCGCGTGGAATTTTCTCCGGGTCCTCCGGTTTCCCCCTCCACACTTAGAATCAAAATGCGCTTAAGAGTATTTGGCTGCTATAAATGTCCACACGATGATGAGCCACTTCGTTGAGCTGTCATTTGTGATGGTCAGGTCGCTTCTCAAGAAAGATCTACACCGCTCAGTGGGCCTTACCTGGTAAAATAAAAAAACAAATAGTAGTTGAAGGAGTAAGAGGCATCCAGAGTAGCTGCTCAAACGCACACACGTGTGCGTGTGTGTGGCGAGTGGTGGCTACGAATCCGGCGACCCGAGTCCGATTCCCGCTCACGGCGAATATCTGAACCGGTCCTGGGTCCCCGCGTAGGTCGACTTAGCCTGAAATGAGCACCCGGAGCGGTGTGTAAAGAAATCAGCGCCGCACTGGGGAGACGGAGGCGCTCGCCGGCAGCACTTGCCCCAACAGCCCGTCGAAGGACTATACCGGTGGTGGGATCTTTGTCTTTGTGCCGGCGTGTGGGCACAGGAACGGCAGCACCATCGTGGACACGGCCGTCGTGTTCCTGGCCGCACCGATCCGCCACCACCTCTGGGACCTGTCCGAGGTGGTGCGCGCCAGCGGCCTCCAAGACGCGCTGGCGGACGGGGTCTTCGTGAGCGGCGCCCGGGTCGTGGAGGTCGTCCTCGACGGTGCGTCGGATATGTGATCTGCGTGTGTGTGTGTTGTGTTTGTGTTCGTGTGTGTTCGTGAGTGTGTATGTGTGTTCGTGTGTACGTGTGTGTGTTCGCGTGTGTTCGTGTGTGTTCGTGTGTGTGTGTTCGTGAGTGTGTGTTCGTGTGTGTGTGTTCGTGAGTGTGTGTTCGTGAGTGTGTGTGTGTGTTTGTGAGTGTGTGTATGTTGTGTGTGTTTGTGTGTGTGTTGTGTTCGTGTGTGTGTATGTTCGTGTGTGTGAGTGTGTGTTCGTGTGTGTGTGTGTGTTCGTCATTGTGTGTGTGTTCGTGTGTGTGTATTCGTGTGTGTTCGTGTGTGTGTGTGTGGTGTTCGTGTGTGTGTGTTCGTGTGTGTGTGTTCGTGTGTGTGTGTGTTCGTCATTGTGTGTGTTCGTGTGTGTGTATTCGTGTGTGTGTGTGGTGTTCGTGTGTGTGTGTTCGTGTGTGTGTGTTCGTGTGTGTGTGTTCGTCATTGTGTGTGTTCGTCATTGTGTGTGTTCGTGTGTGTGTGTTCGTGTGTGTGTGTTCGTGTGTGGGTGAGGTGTTCGTGTGTGTGTGTGGTGTTCGTGTGTGTGTGTTCGTCATTGTGTGTGTTCGTCAGTGTGTGTGTTCGTGTGTGTGTATTCGTGTGTGTGTGTTCGTGTGTGTGTGAGGTGTTCGTGTGTGTGTGTGGTGTTCGTGTGTGTGTGTTCGTGTGTGTGTGTGGTGTTCGTGTGTGTGTGTGTGTTCGTGTGTGTGTGTGGTGTTTGTGTGTTCGTGTGCGTGTGTGTGTTCGTCATTGCGTGTGTGTTCGTGTGGTGTTCGTGAGTGTGTGTGTGTTCGTATGTTCGTGTGTGTGTTCAAATGAGTATGTGGTGCGGTGTGTAAACAGCCACTAGGGAGACAAAGGCGGCCGGGCGTGGTGCTGGCCGCCCATTCCCACGTGTGTCGTTCTGGCCTTCATAGGCGCTCGCTAAAAACACTTGCCCCTACAATCTGTCAAGGCTATACGGGGGATCTTTGTGTGTGTAGCGCTAACAGCACTTGCCCGAACACTCTGTCAAGGCTATACGGGTGATCTTTGCCTTTGTGTCCGTGCGTGTTACTGCCCTAAGAGCGCGGGGGCGACCCGAGTTCACTTCCCACACTTGGCCAACAAATCCGCTGACAAAATGTCTCGAACCGGTCGTGAGCCCAGGCCGGTGGTGCGTCGTGTAAGCACCGCCACGGGGGGGGGGGGGGGGGGGGGGTGAGGGGGGGATTGATTGGGCAGACGACGGCGAGTGGGCGCGAAGCTGGCCACACCTCCAGTCTGCCAAGGCTCGACAACAATTAGGGGTTGGGGGAGAGGGGTCAAACAAGATCGACGAATGCGAGTGACGAATGTGAACGGATTGCGACGCGCAGAGCGGCGGGCCGCGCTGTGCGGCCGCGCGTTCGTGTGCGCCGCCGGCTTCGCGTGCGCAGAGCCCACGCGCCGCGGCCGTGCGCCCGTCTGCTCCTCGCGCTGCCACGCGGGGTTCTGCCTCAACGACGGCGTCTGCAGCCACCGGCCTCCGGAGGGACCCGCGTGCCGGTAGGTACGGGCGCCTCTTTGGCCCAGCTCGCTCGCTCGCCGCACTGCACGCACACACATTGCCCACGCACACATACGCGTGCATGTTGAACTTCTTTCGCACCGTACGTAGCCAACCGTGCTAATCAGTGGACGTTAAAGATCCCCCGACGAGCGCTTGCCCCTACTTAAGGCAAAACCTCCGAAACGTCGAACCTCACCCTCCCCCCCCCCCTCTCTCTATCTCCGCCCGTGGCGCGGCACCAGGTGCCCCGTGGGTGAGGATTTTTGGTTTGTGGGGCGGCACTGCGACGAGAAGGTGACGGCCGAGAGTCACGGCCTGGGCCGAGTGGCCGGGGTCGCCCTGGGGGTCGCCGCGGCCCTGGCGGCCGCCGTGGCCACCCTGGCGGTGCTCGTGGCGAGGAGGAGGAGGAGACAGTGCCAGCACGTGACCCCCGCAGTGAAGGACACGGAGCAAGAGCACAGCAGGTATGGCTTCAAAAACCCGGTCAAGCGTAGCCACCACCACCACCACCACCACCACAGCGAGATGTATACTGGATGTGGTGTGCCGGTTGTAGAAATATTTCAGGGTTTGCTGGGAGATTGCCACGGCCATAGTGACAGGCATGATGGTTGTGGTGTGCCGGATGTGGGATTATTTTTTGGGTCACCAACTCAGATGGACCCAACAGAAATTACGCATCGGGGCATTGCGGATGAAACGTGACCCCCGAGTAAACTCACGGAGGTCATCAAAATCCACGGAGTCATCAATCACGGGGTCATCAAAATCAATCTGCATCCCTGCTCCAACGAGCAGTGCCAGGCTGCGGTGGTGGCACATTTCTCTCCTCCAGCACTGTGGAGGTGAGGGTTGGTGGCTCACCGTACAACATTTTTCCCGTGGGTCTCGAGGAGGTGCCAGGAGAACGTGGTACGGCAAAATGTGGACTGATCTCCATCCGTTCCACCTGTATGGGATAGAGTGTTTCCCCCTCGCGCGCGTGAGATTTATCCGGGAGCTCCGTTTTCCTCGCATATATATGCATGCTCATTAATTGTCTCAACAACTATTCGTTCCTATACACATGGGAACGCAGAGCTTGGGCAATTGCTGGAAGCGCCGGCTTAGCGCTCATCTCCGGTAACTCCTCCTCGCCTCTCGGAGTCGTTCTCCCTCCCTCCCCCTCTCTACGAGAGCGAGCGGATATTGTGCGTCAGCAGCGTCACAAGTTGACATCATCATGGTCATCATTATTATTAAATGCATTTTGCGATCTCTGCTCCACACAACAAAAAAACTTGTGACCAAATCACTTGTAACGCACCCGATCTCATCAGATCTCGGAGGCTCAGCAGACTTGAGCCTGGATAGTAGATCGGCTGGGCACTCAACCGCGCACAAACAAGTTGCTACAGGCTGGGTTCCGTGCACTTATATAAATATTCACATCACAATCGACCGGTAGATGCACCACCAGCTGTACCCCCCCTGCTGTGCCGACTTGCTTCATTTTATCCGCCCGGCGCTCTGCTCGTTGTTGTGAGCGTCGCCCTCCGTTCAACATACAAAGATCCCCCATATAGCCTTAACAGACTGTAGGGGCAAGTGCTGTTAGCGAGCACCTATGAAGGCCACAACGGTACACGAGGGGGTGGGTGGCCAGCACCACGCCCGACCGCCATTGTCTTCCTAGTGGTAATGTTTACACACCGCACCAGGTACTCATTTGAGGCTGAGTCGACCTTGGGGAGGCCCAGGATCGGTTCAGACACTCGTCACTGTTGGTGTTTGCCGTGAGCGGGAAACATACACACACACGTACGTAGATAGACCGCGGGCCGGCGTTCTGCCAGTGCAAAACAAAGACGAATATCCCCACCCAACCCCCGCTATTGTAGCCTTAGCAAACCAGCGGATGCAAGTGCTATCATCAGCTGGGGATGGGGGAGTTGGGGGGGGGGGTCCTCCTCCTCCTGCAGCAGTCGATATTGACAAAGCGTTCCGTTCGCTTGGTGCGAGAGAGGGGAGAGTGAGAGAAAGTAATAGAGTGACAGAGAGCGGTGGCCCTTGTTCCAACAGTAGAGTGGAGGAAACGACTACCCATTTGATAGTTCTTCGTATGACAGCATTTGTTGACATTTCGGTCTTGAATTTACAAATGAAACTTTAGAATTTTAAATGTTTTGTTTAAAAAATAATAATAAAAAAGAGAGAGAGGAGCCAGAGAGAGGGGGGAGAGTGAGAGAGAGGGGGGTGAGTAAGAGAGAGGGGGGAGAGTGAGAGAGAGGGGGGAGAGTGAGAGAGAGGGGGAGTGTGAGAGAGAGGGGGAGTGAGAGGGGGGGGGGGTGAGAGAGAGGGGGAGAGTGAGAGAGAGGGGGGTGAGTAAGAGAGAGGGGGGTGAGTAAGAGAGAGGGGGGTGAGTAAGAGAGAGGGGGGAGTGAGAGAGAGGGGGGTGAATGAGAGAGAGGGGGGAGTGAGAGAGAGAGGGGGGAGTGAGAGAGAGGGGGGAGTGAGAGAGAGGGGGGAGTGAGAGAGAGGGGTGTGAATGAGAGAGAGGGGGGAGTGAGAGAGAGGGGGGAGTGAGAGAGAGGGGGGAGTGAGAGAGAGGGGGGAGTGAGAGAGAGGGGGGAGTGAGAGAGAGGGGGGAGTGAGAGAGAGGGGGGGAGTGAGAGAGAGGGGGGGTGAGTGAGAGAGAGGGGGAGAGTGAGAGAGAGGGGGGTGAGTAAGAGAGAGGGGGGTGAGTAAGAGAGAGGGGGGTGAGTAAGAGAGAGGGGGGAGTGAGAGAGAGGGGGTGAAGAGTTGAGAGCTGAGGGGAGTGAGTACGATGAGAGGGAGGTGAGGAGAGAAGGGGAGAGTGAGAGAGAGGGGGAGGAGCAGAGAGAAGAGACAGAGAGGGGAGGGGGGATGTGAGAGAGAGGGGGTCTGATTAAGAGAGAGACGGGCCGTGAGTAAGAGCGAGGGGGAGTGAGAGAGCGGGGTTGAATGAGAGAGAGGGGGGAGTGACGAAGAGAGGGGGGCGAGTGAGAGAGAGGGGGAAGTGCAGTGAAGAGAGAGGGGGGGTGAGTGAGAGAGGGAGGAGAGAGGGGGCATCGAGACGGTGATCGTGAGCGAGCGATCGTGGGGAGGACCCGCGTTGTTTCGCGGTATGACGGCCTCAGGCGGGGGGGGCGGGGGGGGGGCGGGGGGGGGGGCGATTGGTTCCCACTCCCGGCACCCCCCAAACGCCACCAGCCGCGCGTCCTGGGGCACGAAGCTCGCGAGTGAAAACAGGAAGAGGGGGGGGCGGAGGTGGTGGTGGGAGTCGTGGGGGGGTGGGTGGGTGACGAGGTGGTTGGTGGTGGTGGGAGTCGTGGGGGGGTGGGTGGGTGACGAGGTGGTGGTGGTGGTGGTGGGAGTCGTGGGGGGGTGGGTGGGTGACGAGGTGGTGGTGGTGGTGGTGGTGGGGTGGGTGGGTGACGAGGTGGTGGTGGTGGGAGTCGTGGGGGGTGGGTGACGAGGTGGTGGTGGTGGGAGTCGTGGGGGAGGTGGGTGGGTGATGAGGTGGTGGTGGTGGGAGTCGTGGGGGGTGGGTGGGTGACGAGGTGGTGGTGGTGGGAGTCGTGGGGGGTGGGTGGCTGACGAGGCGGAGATGGAAGGCTGCCTGGCGCTCTCCGCGTGACGACTGCGCCCCACGACTCGAAACGCGTCGCTCTCCGCGTGGCGAAATCGGCCCCGGGCCGCTGGGGGCAGATTTGGCGGAAGGAGGAAAGCGGAGCCGAGGGGGGCGACGAGCGGCGCACACCGTGACACAAAAGGCAAAGATCCCCCGTATAGCCTCAACAGACTGTTGGGGCAAGTGCTGTTAGCGAGTAGCACCTATGAAGGCCGGCACGCCACACGAGGGGGTGGGTGGCCAGCACCACGCCCGGCTGCCTTTGTCTCCCCAGTGGCGATGTTTACACACCGCACAGGGTACTGATTTGAGGCTGAGTCGACCTAGGGGAGGCCCAGAACCGGTTCAGATAATCTTTACTGGTGTTGGGCCGTGAGCGGGAATCAAATTCGGGCCGCCGGGTTCGTAGCGCAGCGCGCTAACCGCTACACTACCGCTCCCCAGTTCACACACGCACGGTGACACACACACACACTCACCGTAGTTTCACCACGACACACACACGGTGACACACACACTTCACCACGACACACAGACACGGCGACACACACACACACACCGTAGTTTCACCACGACACACGCACGGTGACACACACACCGTAGTTTCACCACGCCACACACAGACACGGTGACACACACACACACACACCGTAGTTTCACCACGACACACGCACGGTGACACACACACCGTAGTTTCACCACGACACACACAGACACGGCGACACACACACTCACCGTAGTTTCACCACGACACACACAGACACGGCGACACACACACACTCACCGTAGTTTCACCACAACACACACACGGTGACACACACACTCTCACCGTAGTTTCACCACAACACACACACACACAGTGACACACACACTCACCGTAGTTTCACCACGACACACACACGGCGACACACACGACACAGACACGGCGACACACACACACTCACCGTAGTTTCACCACAACACACACACGGTGACACACACACTCTCACCGTAGTTTCACCACAACACACACAGACACGGTGACACACACACACTCACCGTAGTTTCACCACGACACACACAGACACGGCGACACACACACACTCACCGTAGTTTCACCACAACACACACACGGTGACACACACACTCTCACCGTAGTTTCACCACAACACACACAGACACGGTGACACACACACTCACCGTAGTTTCACCACGACACACACACGGTGACACACACACACTCACCGTAGTTTCACCACAACACACACACGGTGACACACACACACTCACCGTAGTTTCACCACGACACACACAGACACGGTGACACACACACACTCACACGTAGTTGTCTACCACGACACACACAGACACGTCGACACACACACACTCACCGTAGTTTCACCACAACACATCACACGGTGACACACACACTCTCACCGTAGTTTCACCACAACACACACAGACACGGTGACACACACCACACTCACGTAGTTTCACCACGACACACACAGACACGGCTGACACACACACACTCACCGTAGTTTCACCACACACACACACGGTTGACTAACACACACTCTCACCGTAGTTTCACCACAACACACACAGACACGGTGACACACACACACTCACCGTAGTTTCACCACGACACACACAGACACCGGCGACACACACACAACTCACCGTAGTTTCACCAACAACACACACACGGTGACACCACACACTCTCACCGTAGTTTCACCACAACACACACAGACACGGTGCACACACACACTCACCGTAGTTCACCACGACACACAGCACGGTGACACACACACACACTCACCGTAGTTTCACCACGACACACACAGA